AATTTGTAAAATGTGTTTTAAAACTTTTTAGCAATATTATTTCATTTGTTACAGTAAAACTAGCTATATTATTGAAACTAGAAGCATTAGTTAGATCTAATTAGTTAAAACAACATTATTTACATTGATTGGTGGGGGATCCAGTGTTGCATAAGCATGGGGCTCCAGTGTTTCATAAGCAGGGGTTGCCACTGTTGGTGCTTTATCAAATGACTAGAGGTATGAGTATATTTATGACATCAAATATAATGCTAAGGTCTAACCTTATCATCATAAAGTGGATTAGAAATACTAGATCCTTTGTGCTATAAAATGTGTATGTAATGAACAGAGACCATCATTGTATTGAGCTTACTGGGATTTCAGGAGCTGTTTCACGAAGGTAATCATAAGTTACAGGCCCTGATAACTTGTCTACATCTTCATACACTACATTGTTAATAGCAGCACCATTACGCAGCATACCTAACAAAGAAAGACAGTTTATACACATGAATATACCAGCATCATAAATTAAGTTTGAGGAAGTGACTGTTTTTACTTGTAGAGCCATTTGATGCTGCAAGTAATGTGACACGTTCCAAATAGCGTTTCTTCCTCTTCTTGAAAACAACCAATAAGACAACAATGGTGCTCACACTGATAGCTAGTAATAACACTAACATACTAATGACAATAGCAATCACTGCAGAAGCACCACTGCCAGCTGAAGGGTTTGAAAGCGCCGAAGAGCTTGTGGTAAGATAAGGTGTCATAATGTGAGAAGAACTAGATATGCTATCAACTGAACTGCTAGAACCAGTAAATCCAGTGGAAGTTCCTACAGTATTAGGAGGAATAGTAGATGATGAACTGTTAGAAGGAACATTAGTCATCATAGAGGTACTGCTAAAGGCAGAAGTAGCACTTGTTGTTGAAGTGGTGTCAGTCATAGATGAACTGCTAGAAGCAGTAGTCATCATAGAGGTACTGCTAGGGGCAGTACTAGTTACAGTAGTAGAACTAACTGAGGAGTCACTAGGAGCAGTAGTAATAATCCCTTCTGAACTAACTGGAGTGGTATCAGTCGCAAAAGAACTGCTAAAAGCAGTAGATGACATAATTGATGGATTAGAGATTACAAATGAGATGCTAGGAGGAATAACTGCAGTTATGGATGAACTAGGAACACTACTAGATGCCACTGAAACTAAAGACAAAATCATAATAAAACATAATTATTATCATTAATTTACTTGATACTTCTACAGTGACTAATGGGAAATCATTATTTGAGTCTGTTACAAGTGCTTGAGTTATTGTTGAAGAAGGACTATCGACATCACCATTCATTTGTTCATTAAGTGGTCCATTCCCTCTCTGTTCAAATAAAGAAAATACACTTTGACTTGCTTGAGGAATATGAACACCAAATATGTCTCCTTTCTGAAACTGCAGTGGAGTCTGAGGAATAAACTCATAGAGATTATTACCAATCATTGTACTAGCATTAACTAAACTAGATCCTATTTTATTGTAATTATTGGGACCCAGTTGACGCCATATTTGGAGCTCAGGTAAATCATTTCTGTTATTGCCTGAAACCGGCTCTCCTCCATATATCCATTTAGTGAGGGATCCATTACATGAAAACACAATTTCAGGATATAAATACTGCCTTCTCTGATCAATATCTCCACTACTTTGGATTGTTAGGAAATTATTTTTAATAACTGAAGGAGTGATTGAATTGGTATTATTAACACAGTATCCATCTAATGATAGTAAAATAATTCAATGATACAGTGAGTGTGTGTCTTACCTGTTACTGGATATACTAATATCAACTGATTTGTTTTTGGAGAGCTACCTAAATCAATTGGATCTGAATTAATTGATATTTCCTGACTGCTACTAAAACTGATTCCAGATACATCTTCAATGTAATAGACTCTGATGACACTCTCTTCTTCAAGAGGTTGTACTACAGCCACAACTTCTCCACTCATTACTGGTATAGGAGGATTGAGAGAATATTCAAACACTCCACTAGTACTGACATTAGAGGTAGAATAATAAATAGTTCTCTCACTACCAGTCACTAGATCATACTTCCCAGGATCATTGCTGCTAGGTCTATAAACTCTAACACTTGGAAATAAACTAATACTACCAGTAGCTCTCCTTACATCAATACCCAATATAAGACTGGTTATATTAGTGGATGAACAATTGAACTGATACTCTTGAAGGACTCTTATTTTGTCACTCCATGTCTCTCCAGTGGCAGTAGCTGATGTGTGTTGTGCTCTGTATGTTACTTGTGACAACTCCATAAACTTCTCTGTACATCCCTGCTCTCCATACACAAAACCTATTAATTTGAAAACTTCAATTTGATTACCAATTCTTACTCTTTGACATTAATGATGATATTAGAAACAAAATCATTTCAACTGCCAGTAGCTTCATCTTTCTTCTTTCTTCTCTCTCAAAGTAAAGGAAGTAACAGTTGAAAGTGTTATACAGGAAGTAACAGTTAAGGTTGTAATAACAGCAGTTTACATATAATGATTACTATGCTTGTTTAACAGACTAGCAATACAATATTGCATGCCTAATAAAAATTTACAAACTGACACAATACATAGTATGATAGTTTTTGAAGTGACAACATACAAAATAATCACAACATAATAGTTATTTTTTGTAAGTATTTTGTAGTTCAGTATATAGTTGGTATCCAGT